GGCCGCCTGCTCGTACGCCTCGGCCTCGGCGAGATAATCGAGGACGTGGTACATGATCGCCTCTTTGCGCTGGAACTGCGTCTGCGCAGGCAGGTGCACTGGCGCGCTGGCGTGCGGAGGCGGACGTCGCGCGCGCCAACGCCGAGGCGACGCGGGAGCGTATCGCCGCCGAGCGCGCGGCCGAGGCCAAGCCCGGCGCCGACGCCGAGGCGGCCAAGAAGAAGCAGCAGAAGGAGAAGGAGGAGGCCGAGGAGCGTGCGCGTCGCCTCGCCGCTGCGCTCGAGGATAGCTCTGTCCCCTCCTCTGCGTCTGGGAGCCGGATCATCCAGCCAGCAGGCGAGAACAAGAAGCTGAAGGAGGCGTGGGAGCATGTCTCTACGCCGCGGGGCGCGCCTGGTCCTCTCGCTAGCGGCGCCGCATCGGCGCCGACAACGTCCGCGCCCCCCAGCACGAGCTGGGAGGAGGTCTCGGCCCCCTCTGCCCCGCAGTCGAGCGACACGAGCAGCGACAACCTCCCCTCCAAGCGCACGACCGAGAAGGCCTTCGAGGATACGACGGGCATGCCTGTCGTCTCCAGTGCCAGCGCGACGAGCACGAACCCGAGCGTGCCCCAGCCCTCGCTCACCCTCAGCATCTTCACGCGCCCCGGCTCGCTCACGGTCAGCCGCGTCATGGCCGCGCTCGGCATCAACCTCGTCCTTCCCTTCATCAACGGCGTGTTCCTCGGCCTGGGCGAGATCTTTGCCCGCGAGGCCGTGCGTTTCGGCCGCATCTGGTGGCGCGAGAAGAAGTCTGGCGACGCTGAGAAGGGATGGACCGGAGGAAAGGGCACGGCCGGCGTTGGTCTCAGCGCCGCTGGCTTCTAAAGGTTGTCGTAAAATGTTTTATCGTAGGGACCATCAAGACGTAGTTTGTTGTTCACACCGATCTGTCAGAGAAGGATAGGAGTCACCATTTTTGAGTATGCACACACATCTTAGCCTAGCGAATCTCGATACATGCAAGGAGGAGGTTACTGAACTTATTGCTTCGACTACAACTTGGCACCCTGCTTCACCTGGTATCCGCCGTTGACCTCCTCCCACTGCGTCCCCTTGTCCCAACCGAGCCAGGATTTGATGGCCGCCGGCCCGCCCTCACCAGGCGTGAGCGAGTTGCCGCTGTATCCAGCTCCCTTGACTCCGGGTCCCTGGCCCTTGGCGGGGTCTCCGTTAGCTCCGGGAGTGACAGCGAGCAGAGGCGTATTGCGGAGCGTGACGATCGGGCGCTGATCTCCCTCAGGCTTGCCCTCGAGCTCGCTATACTCGAGCACAGGGGTGACGCACGCGTCAGTGCCGTCAAAGATCTTCTCCCACTCTGCGCGTGTCTTGCTCTTGAACGCCTCCGTCATCTGCTGGCGGAGCGTGTCCCACTCGTCGAGGTTCTGCTGCCTCTTGGCCCAGGAGGGATCAAGACCGGTGCCCTTGATCATCTCGCGGAAGAACTGCGGCTCAAGTGAACCAACAGCGACGTATTTGCCGTCCTTTGTCTCATACGTGTCGTAGAACGGGCATCCGCCGTCGAGCATGTTGGTTCCCCGGGGACCGGCGCCGAGGGGTGTCTTCTGCCCCATCCTGGGCATGGAGGAGAGATAGCTGGCGCCATCGACCATGTTGGCCTCGACGACCTGGCCCTTCCCGCTGACGCCGCGGGAGAGGAGCGCAAGCAGAATGCCCTGGAAGAGCACGGCGCCGCCGCCTGCAAAGTCGCCCAGAATGTTGGTCGGCGGGTGCGGCTTGTCGCCCGCCCGGCCGAGCATGCTCAGCACGCCCGAGACGGCGAGGTAGTTGATGTCGTGCCCCGCCATGGCCGAGTACTTGCCGTCGCGCCTGAATCCCGTCATGCGCGCGTAAATCAGCTTCGGGTTCGCCTCGAGCAGCGGCTTGGGGCCCAGACCGAGCTTCTCCAGCACGCCCGGGCGGAAGGGGTCAATGAGCACGTCGGCGCGCTCTGCCAGCTTCTTAACTAGCGCAACGCCCGCCGGCTGCTTCAGGTCGACGACTACAGATTGCTTGTGGCGCGCCAGCATGTCCTTTGTCGGCACAGCCGCGGCGGCAGGCGACGCGCGGTCGACACGGAGCACGGTTGCTCCGGCATCGGCCAGCAACATGCCAGCGAACGGTCCTGGGGTCAGCTACGGACCACGACGCGAAAGCATACCGGGAGCGAGACCCGCGAACTCGAGCACCTTCAAACCGGTCAGAGCAGGTGTTGTCGACATGGTGGTGATCGTGGATGAGGATAACGAGGAAGACGAGGAAGACACGAGCTAGTGGGCGGAAATCAGTGCCCAGCACCACAACGGTGGCTTAATAGCCGGCCTAGGCTCGGCACTCGGCAAACTTCGACTGACCGACCGGTGTCGGGGAACCACCACTGACGGCGATGAGCGACGGCCGCCGTGCACCATGCATCATCCTATGTGAGCGTATGACACTAAGACGACTAGCTTGTGCATGCGCTTAAGTGGAAGGAATGTCTGGGCATGCATGGTGGTGGCTCACGTACAAGCTCCGCGGGCTCGGCTTTCGGCGCTGGCCGACACACTGACACTCTCTCACGTTGACCCACAAGTTTCGTGAGTAGCCTCGAGATCAGTCCAGAGCCTGCATTAGAGCATAATATGCATAATGAGATCGCATCAAACGCGGTCCGCGGTCAGTGTAGTCCAAGTTTTACAAGTAAGAGTGAGAGACCTCGTGAAGAGTCGTTGCCAAAAATATAGGGAATGGGGGTATAACCTTGTGATGACTGGGGTATCGTAAGGGAAGGGGAGACATGCTCCTCTCACTCAGCTTCATGCGCTCATCGCTATTAGCGGCGGAGGAGGGATCCGAATCGTCGCAGTCCCTTGGACGGCGTCGTCGTGACGGGGGGCAGGTTGCTGCGTTTCGGCTCTTCTGGCACTGGTGGGACCGGCGGCATCGCCGGCAGGCTGGAGCGGCTGCTCGTCGAGTGTAACCGCCCATTGACCCGGTTCGGGAGTGGAAGCAAGTCGTCAATCTCCTCCTCCACCGTGCCGCGCGGGATTGTCGCTGATGTCGAGGTCGAGAGCGAGCGCGGGATGTGGTTTGAGCGTGGCGTTATGTTGCCGTTGCCAAACTCGATGAAATCCTTCGAGCTCTTCGACAGCGTGTGCCCGTTCGCGCGCTTCAGCGAGTCACCTCGCGAGAGGCTGACAGAGATGGACGACTGGCTGGCGCCGACAGAGTTGACTAGGATGCCTGTTCCGCGGCGGGGAGCAGCAGGAGGGAGCTCTCCGTTGCTGACACTGCTGGGACCATACGAACTCGGTCCGATAGAGCTGATGGACGGGTTCGTGAGTGTGGAGTGGGTCTCGGTTGTGGGTGTCTGCGGGCCGAGTCGGAGGGTAGGCAGGGTGTAGCTGCTCTGCCCCGACGAATTGTTCGCTTCGTCCTCGGTGAGGGCTGGCGAAGCGGGGCGAGGAACGTTCGGGACGGTAGCCACATCAGCCATGAGCGGCGTCGTGTGCGTGGAAGCAAGAGGTGTGGCCAGCGCGGGAGACATGGGCGGCAAGTCAGCCTCTTCGATGGGCGGGAGGTGCAGGCTCTCCTCGGCGAAGACCTTGTTGTAGCGCGTGCGCAAAGCCTCCTGGAAGGCGATGTCGCGGCTGAGCTTCTGGTACGTCGCGAAACCCTCCTGGATGGTCCTGGCGTAGTCAACGATGACGTCGCCGAGGAAGGCAACGTTGCGCGCCTCGACCGGGTGACGTTCGACATAATCGGGGTCGAAGAAGTGCTTCTTGTAGAGAGGAACACCTCCATTGACTTTTGAGTCGACAGCAGCGTTGAGAGCATTACCAAGAAGCTTGGCGTCGGGGTTGCGCGAGTTGACCAGCTGACGAAGGTCGCGGTCGGACTTGCGAACAGCAGAGATGGCCGTCTGGACCGGCGAGATGTGGTCGAGATGAATGTGGATGATTTCGGCACGGCTCTGAAGAGCAGGAAGGTCGTTCGCAGTCGTGACGGTCGTCTTCTCGATCCACTGCAGGACGGGCTCACGCTCGTCGGGGTGCATGTAGTACGGGCGCGTCGTCTCGAACGTGTTGATGCTGTTGTACTTGTAGTAGTTCTGGATGTTCGGGTTCACGCCCTTAGCAAAGACGGGCTGCTTCAGGTCCGGCACGGGGCTCACAGTCGTGATCCAGATGACCGGCTCGGTGCCGTATCGAACAGACTCCGTGGGAGGAATCTTCGAACGGTGAATGAGCGCGTCAGGGTGCTTGGCAGCCATCTGGTCGCAGAATTCGTTGTACTTTAGCTTCGGCACTCCGCGGATGACAAACTCCTTGTCGAGATCCAGGCGCGTAAAGTTGCCAAAGTAGGCGACACGGAAGTACTCCGGCTTCGGGCGTGCTGTCGATCCGATGCGCTCCCACAGCTTGGCTTCATGGTTGAGAAGCTCCGAAATGCGAGCGACGTTGAACGTGATACGACGGTGCTGATCGGCCATGTCACGACAGATCTCGGCCGCCTGCTCGTACGCCTCGGCCTCGGCGAGATAATCGAGGACGTGGTACATGATCGCCTCTTTGCGCTGGAACTGCGTCTGCGCAGGCAGGTGCAGGTCTCCGGCGTGGAACTCGTCGACGAGCTCGCCCTGCATGGTCCAGTCATAGAGGTCGGCGTGGAGCTTGAGAGCAAGACCAGCACCGAGCCAGTCGCGAGCCGCGACGTTGATCGAGACGAGGTGGTGGACGAACCGGACGTAAAGATCGTCGCGACCGACACGAGAGAAGAACTCCATGAGGCGGAAGATGGCGGCCACACGCTCCTCCTTCCATCGCGGCGTCTGAGGCAGGTCGCGAACGGCCATGAGCAAGTCGATGAACAGCTCGACCTGGTCCAGGAAGGTGCCAACGTGCTCGCGGAAGTTGTTGTCCAAGTCGGCTTGGTGCTCGAAGACGGTGCGCAGGCGAGACACGAAGTAGGCTCGCGAGGCGGTTTCGGTTGCGGAGACAGTGCGATGCGTGAAGAGCAGTTCGAGCTTTGTGAAGATTTCGGTCTGAATGGCGTTGAACTTGCCATCCAGGACATACTCGGCGTAGATCATCGAGAAGAGAACGTCTACTGCGGCGTCACACAGACGCTCATGAGACGACAAGCACAGGGTGAGGATACGCTCCGCAAGTCCAGTAAACCTTGCCTGGTAGCCTCCATAGCGAGACCCAGTAGTCGCCTGATCGCGCGACTGCCAACCGATGGCGTTCCAGAGCCGGTGCAGCAGCGCGGCGCCTTCGTCTCTGAGGTCACCGGCAATGATCCAGGCAGCGCGGCGGCGCTGGAGACCTTGCTCCTCCAATGCGAGCTCGTCACTCGCGCACAAGTCGCAGAGCAGCTCAAGACACTGGGTCCAGAGCTTGACGTCGAACCTCTCCATCTCCTCAATGGGCGGCACGAACTCGGGCCGCGCAAGGAACTGCACGACCGCCTCCAGGAAGCGGATAACCGCCGTAAACGCAAGACCGGACAGGGTCAGCCACTGGCGGGGGAAGGCCTCAAAGTTGATGATCGAGTTGAAGACGGAGAAGGCTGTCATCAGAGTCTCCTTGGCCTGCGTCTCGCCCTGCATGTCGACGATCTCCTCGAACCATCGCACTATGTTGGCGCGAGGTGTCGCAATGACCAGCGTAAAGATTACAACCGACACTTCCGCCAATCCACACCTGAACGTTCCAGCTGGCGGCAGGCCCTCCTCCTCCTGACCGAGCAGTGCCGGTGGAGGCAGGTGCGAGACCAAGGCGAACGGATGCGACGAGGGGAAGACATCGGGAGTTGACTTCCATACAGTTGCCGACGAGCGGTGGCGCTCCAGGAGAGCCATGGTCGAGTCGCTGGCCAGCTCCTTGTAGGACTCGAGTAGGTGAGGCAAGATGGACAGGCAGTACTCCATGTTGTCTTCCTCCTGCGACAGCTGGACAGGGTTCGACTTGACGATCGGCGAATCCAGAAGCAACTGGAGCTGGTTCACAGTCCAGCCCATGATCGAGATAGCTAAGCGATTGCACTCCAACCATTTGATCTGGCGGCTGTCCTTGAGAGCCTGCGTCTCGTTGCGCGCCGAGTACAGGTCCTCCTCGTATCGACCGATGTGAGGCTTGATCCATCGAATGATGGCCGGGATTAAGTCTGCCCGAGTGTCGTTAAAGCTGAGCAGAGTCTTGACGATCTGCAGAATGAGGAGCAGCTTGTACACGGCCAGGTTGCCCTGCGCTCGGGTGAGTGTATCCGTAAACTCGATTACCATCTCCGAGATCTCGCTTGGCGCAAACACCTGCGCCAGGTCCGGCAAGATATCGGCGTAGTGTTGAACGGCCAGAGTTTGAGAGCCGATGAGCTTCTTGTCCGATGACAGCATGATGTTGTTGATCTCGCCAAGGATCTCGCGCGTCTGGTGCTTGAAGTCCGCTTCGAGTTGGGAGGCAGTCGGTCCCAGAGAGGAACCGCGGGATCGGTCAAGCTCTCGTGATCGGATGATGAACTTGAACATGCTGTGCCACACCTTTAATAAAGATCGGTACTCTTGCGACTCTGGTCGTCCCATGACTGCCTTCATAGCGCGCAGCAGGTGCGAGGCAGAGGAGGCAAAGGCGAAATGTTTGGAGGTGTAGGCGGCAATGATCGGGCCGAAAGACGGGAAGCGTCGGTCCGACTGCATAGCCAGCACCTTGACGAGGCCCTTGAAGACCAGCTCGTCTACCTCTTCTCGGCGGTCACCTAAGTGCGAGACTAAAATCGCAAACAGGGCGTCGAGAACAGGCTGCAGGAACTTTGCGATCTCGTCCTCGCCAACGAACTGGAACATCTGCAGCGTGTTGCACAGGGCAGCCGCATCGGCGCTCTGCCAGGCGAAGAGAGCGCGCAGGGTGTCGTCCTGCGTGTGGAGAGTTGAGCACAGGAACGTCCAGAGCGAGATCCTGTCGCGGAGAACGGTCATGTATCGGCCAGCATCGGCAGAGAGCTTCGGCTCGCCAGTAGACGGCGCTTCAAAGTACAGGTTCGGCGTTGGCTGCACTCCCGCCTTCTCCATGTGATATAAGATAAGCTCGTGCTTTCCGTCCTTGATCGAGGCGTTGTGAGCAAAGAGCGGGAGGTAGGCAAATGCGAACGGCGTCTCATGAGAGATCTCGCGCTCCCTCGTGCGGTGTCGGAAGGAAAGGAACAGGTGGCAGTCGCCGGTGCCCTGCGGCAGAGCGATCTTCACGAGTTCTCCAAAGGTTGGGCGATCGTTGTGGTAGTAGACGATCGAGTTGTACTGCCCAGTGGGAGGCTCGCCAGATCCACCAGCATAAAGGGAGTCTGCTACGATCGAACCATCCGCTCGTCGCACCTCCAGCGTCACTTGCGTGCTCGCAGGGATCGGGGCGACAGTCTTGCGTACCCTCAGTGTACCGCCGGCTGGGAACATGGTCGAGAACGATGCCGTCCACAGCTTGATGTACAGGTCATTTCGAACTGCGCCAGGCGGAACAACGTCGGGGAAGCCCAGACGGAGAGTTTGCGTCGTCTCGAGCAACATTGACGGGTGCTCTCTAATCACCTGGTCAAGAGGGCCGTGGAACAGTCTCAAGCCGAAGGCGATAGCATCTGCTCGCGGTGACCGGTCATAAGCGCGCTCGTTGTGCAAGATAATGTCAGCATGGAGGGTCGCGAAACTGGCCTCGTCACGGGCGACGTAGATCGGCATCGCCAGGTCCTCCCCTCCCACGTCTCCCGTTAGCCGGCTCATGGTCGGCAGCTCAAACACAGCACAGCCGAACGGGCGACGAATGCCACCCGACTTAGAAGACGAGAAGGATCCGCGCGACTGCTGAGTGTCAATAGTCCGTGTTCGCCGAGGCTCGTAACCGGAGGTCGTCGAGGCCGAGTCGTCTGTTATACTGTCCGGGATCGAGACCGAGCTTCGCCACTTGCTAGGTGCGTCGCTGAACATGGTGCTGCCCCTCCTGTTCTTCGGCCGTGTATCCGGCGACCCGACGGAGCTGGCTTCCGTTCCAATCTTCATGCTGCCGTTGCGGACGATACGACAGACAAGGTATGTTCCGCTCTGAACGTCGTCTGCCCTCAGGTCGGCGAACAGTGTTCGTAACTTTCCTAACCGCCGCTCTGCATCGCGCGCCGGGCTGCCGTTGTGGTTGAGGACGAGACAGTACTCTTCGGTGAGGAACCGGCTCTGCGTCTTGCTGTAAAGGGAGAAGAACAGCTCGCACGTCTCTCCAGGGGCACATGGGCTGGCGACAAAGGCACGGAAGTCGAAGAGGCAGTGGTAGCCGCTGGCAGCGTTGGCTGCGGCCGCAGCAGCCGTGTTCGTAGACAGCTCCATGCCCTCCGGGGCATCGGTGGGGCTCTGCAGGGGAGAAGACGGGCCGCGAATGGAGGTAGCGAGCGGGTGGGGGATCGTCTGTTTGCCGAAGAGGGCGTCCAGGGGAACGAGATCGATGTACGCGAGCTGTCGTCAGTGGCTGGTACGATCAACACACTCACCTGGACTTGGTAGATGTACGCGATGATTCCGCCCATCCAGCCAGAGCTCGTCAATGCTCGGTCCTTGTCCACTCCCACAACGCTGCCATCCTTGAGACTCCGTACTATGACCTCGAGCCCCTGGGCAACGTTGCACTTGACGAGACGTGAAACGCATTCCCGGCGAATTCGGACAAGCTCGTCGCTGCTGAGCATCTGAGACAAAAGTTGTCGGCGGCCCAGGAACAGCGCGTCGATATGCTGGACGACTGCGTTGAAGAGACGGTATTCGCGCATGGCCAGATACGTGGGCAAGCGCTGTTGTCAGCCACCACACAAAATGCACACAACTCACGGCATACCACTCCCTGATTGCACAAGCAATCTCGTCCACCAAAGGCCATTGCTGGCCAGCAACGGTCGAGTCACCGGCAGTGAGGGTTGGTAGCGGGGGCTGCTCCTTTATTCTGGGCTTCGCCGCGAGAACGAGAGACTTTGGTCGGTGGGGTCTTCGGATGACGTTACTGTTGCCGTTTGGTCGGTCGTCGGGGCCGTGCTCTCCCTCGTCAAGCTCATCGTCCTGTTCTCTTTCCCCGTCGTCGAACTCGTCCTCCTCCTGCACTGCTGCCATTCGAAGCTCGCGCGAACGGGCCTCTGCCAGTTCCCGCGCCTGCTCATGAGCGGCCGTGAGGACTTCGCTTTCGGTAACCGCGTTGTGTCGGACGTGGACTGCGGCAGCTGGGAAGATGCCGATCAGAACAGAAGGCTCTGCTTTCGGATAGAGATCGGGCGACTCGGCATCGGGCATGAGCATTGGCAGCGAGACACCTTGGACGACATATCTAGAACTGTTAGTAATGCGACTAGCGTAAACTTGATCACACGGACCCTCTGTACCAGATGGAGTCGTCTCCCTCCTCCGCGCTCCGATACTCCTCGAAGGCGAAGAACTCGTCGCCCACGTCGAGATTGACTTCATGAGGATTCGTGCGTGCAGAGTAAAAGCTGTCATCTCGACCGGCTGTTGTCGAAAAGGAGGGGACTCGCGGGCGGGAGAAGGTTGTCGGAGATTTGAGGGCGTTGTTGGGAGAGGCCGGCTGGGAGGACGACGGGTGGAAGGGGTGGACTACGAGCCCCGAGTAGATGTAGGGGAGGGGCTCCCAGGCGCCCTTTCTACTGCGAGGCATTAGCGCTTAAAGGAACGTTATGGTGGGTAGGAAAAATGTTGGATGTGACCGTGGAGAGGTAACGTCGATGTAGGAAATCGAAAGATAATGAATGGGAGGAAGGGACGGAAGATGGAGGGACGGATTGGAATGCTGATACGCACAGTAAGGAAGGGCCCGCGACTGCAGCAGCGGCGCCAGGCGTCTGCCCAAGGCTGTAACCGAGCGCAGACATGGTCACCGTCAGGCCCCGGCGAAGGCAGGCAGACGCTCAGGAGTGTAGAGGGGTGGCGAACTTAAGAACAGATGCCGTGCTCGCGACTCTGCGCCGACGCCAAGCGGGTGCTGAGCAGGTAGGCCTGGTGTGCGTACGTGCGCTACACGGCACTGGCGGACAAGGGGTGCGGTCGGATGGGCTCTCTGGCGAAGCAAGGTTTAATGACCCAAATCCAGTACCGGGGTGCCTGCCTGTGTGGAGGTGGGAAAGAAAGGCGGGCCGACTGGCGGGTGGAATGGAAAACTGGTGGATGACGTCCGTCACACACACACTAGGTTTGACTGGCGCAGGTGCGATGGCCGCTGTCGAGGATGTGTGCACTGGTGAGTTGCAAAGTCGTGGCGAGTGGATCGGGTGGTGTAAGGGAGTTGAAAACGTAGGATGCGTTGAATGTCGCGGTGGATTGGAAAGCGGATCCAGCGGACCAGGTGTCAGAGCTGGGAGAAAGGGTGCTGTACCATGGCGACCCTATGAATGAATAGCCTGTCGCCGGTTGGAACTCGGCACCTCGGCGCAGAACTCAAGCTAGCGCTCCTGCATCCCACTGTATGCATCGCGTCTCACGCGTGCGCCGCGCGTCCTCACTGTGCGGGCTGTGCGGGCACGCGAGTGGAAGGACAACGCACTGTGAGAGTGGAAAGTTCGGATGCATGAATTCGATCTGAATGCTTCCAGAAGTTGGATACATGCTGTCGTCGTGCATGCTCCCTTGTGCAGCGCTGAACGGGGAGCAGGGCCCTTTTAGGTGCAATAGGAGACGGCGTAGTGGTTCTTCGCGTTCCATTCGGTGGACTGTCGCCACCTCCGTCCTTTCCCTTTTTCGACCGCTCGTCTCAAGCCGAAACGCGACTTCCCCTGGCCACCGTCCTTCGTCGGCGGCGCCAGCCCAGCGCACCTCATACCCTGCCATTCCTTGCTGATAACTTGCCGCCGCGTATCATGTCACACATTCTCCGCACCGCGACCACTCGCCGTCAAGGCCGGGGTGACTACCGCATACCAATCGAGACGGAGGTGTGTGCATGCAGCTTGACTTGCAGCAATTCAAGCCAATTCTGATCAATTCGGCGTGCTCCCCTCGCTCGATTGTCTCGGTTCCTTTCGGCCCAGACCTTTGCTGCGATCGTGCCATGCGCCGCGTGCAGGACCGCTTTCCAAGACAGACCTCCACATTATCGCTTAAACATCGGAATATCCACTCCCCCGCTCTCCAAAATATTGAAGTATCCGATATCTCCCAGTCCTCCACACTCCGCACCGCCATTCGTCCCGACTCGACCCATCCTTAATCCTTCATATCCACCATTCTTCCCTTCCACCGCGTCCTCCGCCACTACGCCGTCATGACCGCAGTCAGAGGCCGAGTGAGGTGCGTCTCCTGATGAATTGCCCTGTAAACTAATCTGAAAGGGCATGCCGCCTCGCGGACACCTACTCGCACACCCGCTTCCACCTCGCTCTCCGCACCAAGACGCAGCCGTCGACATACCACCGACTCCTGCTGTTCCGTGTCAACAACGTCTACGATACCAATAATCCTGAAGCCGATATCTCCGATTCCAAGGAGGCTGTGGAGAAGGAGGCGCCGTGTCCTACCCTCGCCACCGTCCAGAACCCCGGTTCGGACAAGCCCGAGTTGTACTGCATGGAGGAGACTTGCCCGCATCTTGGCGCCCCTCTCAGCCATGCCGAGATTGAGATTGACGACATTGAGGACACTCGTGCAGTTGGTGAGCTAGAAGATGAGTTCCATAGAGCTGATCTCCCAGTTTGCCCTTGGCACCAGTACGATTTCGGTACGTTCTCTGCTTGGTTTGCCACCGACGAATACTGACGCCCCAGACATGCGCGACGGAAGCAGCTGTGAGGAAGACCGACTACTGAGAGACTGCATCGTACTAACTTCAAGCTACGGGACTGAAGACTTGCACATACAACGTCGAGGTGATTGGAAAGGGCGATGATGCCGAGGTGTGGGTCGACGCTCCGCACAATGATGGTGGCCATGAATGGGAGGTTGTGGAGTTCCGCGGAGTCAGCGAAGGTACGTGCACTTGTCTACGGGGAGGTGAACTGCGCATTGGGGGGTGAAGAATGATGGAGAGGACTAGGGTGTTCATGTTCCGCCAATCCGACGAGAACTTGGTGGCGGTGAAGTGGACGTTCGTGGATGAAGAGGGTCCGTTGGGGTCGGTTCCGGAGGAGAGAGCACAGAGGTAGAGATGTTGCTTGGAATCGTGAGAGGATCAGCGCTGCTGTTTGTGACTGTGTCGGCCGAGCTGGATAGGGGTGTGGATGAAGGTGAAAGAGGGAGCTTGCGCAGTTGACGTAACCCTGTCTCTGCCAAAGTCGCCCAATGTCTTCCCTCCTAGCCCTCTTCCAACCACAACAAACCCTTTCAAGCTCAGCAATCCCGCCCTTCCTGGGTCTCTGATCTTCCGTGGGAACCATGGGAGAGGCTCGGGCCGGGTATTACCTGCTCGCCGGTCCGCAGTGCCTGCCAGTATCACATTCCCCTCCACAGATGTCTTCCTCGTCTTCCTCATCTATCTCCACACCTGCCTCTGACATCCCATCACTACTCTTATATTCGTTCCGCTTCTATGCTGACAATGCAGAGTTCGCTGACCCGCCGATCCCTTCGCTCAAGGACCTCAATCTGGGTGATGGCCCGATCCCTTCCACCGTGCCCGGCCAGCCGCAGCTCGAGCTGCCATCTGAGCTCCCGACATCTCTCCTTGGCTTCGCCCATCTCGTTCTTGCCACTGCTGATCCCGACCTGAAGTGCATCCTCACGAAGGAGGGCGTTCAGCGCATGCGTGCTGGCAAGCTGAAGTCGATTCGCCCCACCAAGGGCGAGATTAAGCGCATTCGTGAGACGGTCGGGCTCCTGGACGAGCCGCCGCGCTTCGCTACCATCGTCCCGCCCAACAAGCGAGGCAAGCTGTGAGTAACACATAGACTGGGCCCGGTTCTGATCGATTCGCAGTGGCCGAGGTGGAACAGAAAAATCGCGAATCAAGATGCTTCGTGAGTGACCAGAACTGCAAGTTGTTAGCACGTCACTGACCTTTCCTTCCCTTCCCGTCGTTCACCACCTTATATTTGTGAACCCTCATCGCTCACCTGCTTGTCTCTCACTCTAACGAATGGCCTCCACGTTTGCCCGTCGTAAAACGACCTTCCTTCGGCGTCCGGAAAATATTTCTGCTCGGGTGTCGGTCCTTTTGCCTCGCTTGTGACCAACAGATGCTCTCGCGAACATCGAGCAGTACGCGATCGACCTTGCGTGGGACATCATCGCGCGCTTCGCCGAGTTTGAGATTGAGGGAGAGCGCCTGCCGGTCGAGTACTTCCTCGACTGGGCCAAGGTCGCGGAGGACGAGGCGAAGCACTTCTCTCTGCTGAACAAGCGGCTCAGGGTAAGTCAAGGCAACGAGTTTTCTGCTAATTATCGCAGGAGATGGGATCCTACTTTGGCTCGCAGACTGGTGCGTTCGGCAAAGCATGTTGGCTGATCATGGAAACTGACGAATTCCAGTGCACGCTGGTCTTTGGAAGTCGGCGATGGAGACGGCCGACTCCCTCCTGTCGCGAATTGCGATCATTCACCTCGTCGCTGAGGCACGAGGAGTCGACATGAACCCGTTGAGATGAGGAGTCGGCCGCTGTCCTGGAGGTCATCCACGCGGATGAGATCACCCGTAAGTCGCAGACGCTGTCAGGCAGCTCGGGAAGCGACGGAGATGGCTGCGGCCTAGGTGCTGTCAACGACCGTATCGTTGTGTCCCGTCTCTCTGCTTGTCTCTGGGCGTCTGAGGCACTTCACAAGCAACCAAATGGCCATTCCTTCAGCTGCGTTTGCCCCTGCCTGCTGACAATGACATCGTCGTCGCCTGGAAACGTCGATCGCTCGATTGCTGACGCCGATCGCAGATGTCACCACTGGTCACCGATGGTTCTCCTGGATGTGAGTATTTGGGGAAGGAGGTGGGAACAGGGCATGACGCGTTGCAGCCTCCCAGCCTTTCTCTCGCCCCTGCCTCTGCTCGACATCGACGTGGAGCTCGAGGGTGGAGCTGACGCCCATTAGCTGTGCCAAGCAGGGTCTCAACCCCGTCCAGCAGTTCCGTGACGAGGTGTCATCTCATTTCCATGGAGACCTCAAGGGTCCCTTCAACGTCGAGGATCGCGCGAAAGCGGTGAGTGATATCGCCAGATTGATGGGAGAGAGGCAAGATGAGAGGAAGCATTCTCGGTGAAACAGTAATGAGGTCCTGGTACGAGCTCGTGGGATCTGTTGTTTCGGTTCGAGGTTCCAGAGTCCGAGGTCAGATGGTCCATATGGTCCACAACCTTGTCCATCTCGAGGAACCGCATTTGGTTCCCGAGACACCGTTACAGCGGTGCCTCGCACGCTATTAGCAACCATTAGTGGTTCCTTGTCGGTGTGTCCTGGATTGCTGAGTCTCGATATTGTGGAGCGAGTTAAGTCAACACCGAGCCGAGGGCGAGGGTAGTGGCTGGGACTGGCCGGTGGAGATAACACGCCTCTTGTTGCGCTGCTCGCGTCTAAACGCGCGCGACGCACGTCCCCATCATGAGGCTACACGCATCGACGCTGACACTTTTCCAGGGCCTGACACCCGACTTTTACACTGACTTACGTGGCCACCACCGTACTCCGCAAGAGACGTACGAGAATGGTGCAGGAAACGGGGGCGGCGACACCCACATGCACCCCAGGCTTACCTGAAACAACCCTTGGGTTTACAACATCGAGCCCGGCAGAGAGTCGCTCGCGAAGATCGGCGTGCGGGGCTCACTCTAGCCAGGCTTTCCTGCCCTTGCTGCCGTGGTCCCTCGTTTTCGTCGCTTTCCTGAGGGCCCCAACGTAGAGACCAATAGACCAGCGCGCAGCTGCACCTGTAGTCAGCAGCGCACAGATGAACTAGGCAATTCATATTCTACCGATTGCGAAGAACGAGGCACCACCACGTCAGGAGCTCGTGTAACGCCGTAGCTGAGGGTCTGCTCGGGCGATCAATCAGGCGTGGACGACGACGGCGAACAGTCCGGCGCTAAGTCTCTCCGAGTGGACGGAGTCCTTAGACGCATACCTCCGTGCTCGCAACCCACTCCGGAGTCCGATGCGGAGTGGGCGCCGCTGTCCTTCCCGTCCGCGCGCGTCCACGCTGGGAGTGCCTGACGCCCTAGATCTGCATGCCAGTCTGAAGCACTCCTGGCTCATCCCGGGCTTTGCATCTCGACATGAATAGAACAGGTCATGGTGACGTGGAACGGTTGCTGCAGCCGCCGTGTGCCGCCAACTCTCGTCATTTGCATCAGTATGGCATCGTCTGGAACAAGCAAGACAAGCGAATACGGCGCTAGTTACGAATGTGTCTCGCAGCGTGCCTTGCCATTGCCGGCGGTGCTGCGTGCAACAACATGGATTAGGCAGATGTGCGGCAGCCGCAAGAAGGAGAGTGACAGCCCCGTTCCTGGGCCAGGAGAAGAGGACTGGGGTTCTTCCGTCATTTCGTTGCGGGTTGTCGGGTTTGTCAGGTTCGTCCTGACTATCCTGACCTGCATCACGTTGCTTTTGCTTGGTACGGGTTCCGTCGGATGGGTGTTTCCCGACATTGTCACAACGACCTGGGGACTGACACACTCGCACGCGGCATCCATCGCCATATCTCGCGCTCGGGACGGTCTCGGATGCCCGTTTCTTTTCCTTCTTACCCGTTCTCTGGTTTGCTGATTCCCCAGATACGGTGCGGCATTGGCGTCAGACACGCTCATCTCGTGCCGTGTTCCCCATCATCTTATCGCAAGCAGTTCCGAGACAGCCCCCCGCAGCCGACATTGGCGAGCGAGAGGAGGCGAGTGCTGCGACACGCCGTCAAGGCACACGTCCCGGCCTGTCACTTATGCTATGCTTCATGTGCTTCACGCGCTTCACGATCGATGCGTGAAGCGCCTCAGTAGTGACAAAGGAAGTGTCGATCGGCCCTTCGTCCTCGGAACGAGCCCCGTCCAGCCCATGTCAATCGAATGAGGAACGCAGGGCCGCGCCACTGCTCCTTTCGACTTCGTTTCGAGGCGACGCCAAGGACACCATATGGTACACATAAGTGGACCAGGGATCTGCATTCCACTGCATTGTGGCGGGACGGGGCCGTCGGCGATTCACCGATTCAGCGAGCCGCGGATGATCGCCCGAAGGAATGCCTTTGCGGTCTACCGTCTGCAGCACGTAATGCTCATTCATTCATGTACGAGATCATTCGCCGATAGGCGCTCCACTGCAACCCGTTGCACCCACTGTGCAGAACGCGGTTCCAGGGGAATCACAATGGTTGGCTTGCGGAACAAGAGTTTCCATGACGAAAGCACCATATGGGAGAAGTTCGTCTTCCGCACCACCGGACCGTGCGGGCCGGCCGGCGCGGGGCGTTCGGAGTTCTGTCATAGGTCGTCATCGGACCCACTGAGCACCCCACTCTCTGGCGGCTGGTGGTGCTTGGAGGCTCGGTGTTGCTCGGAGTCCCGAGCCTCCGAGACTCCCAGCTAGTGGCTCCACCTGCTGCGAGCGCGTAGGTGTGCCGAGACAGGTGGAACACATGCAAGCAGCCGCTGGCCCAATCGCACAAATGGCAACGGTGATGGAGTCTGGGCAGTCTGTTGGTCCTGGATCCCAACCTTACGCTTCGGTCATCGCGGTAACTCAGGGATAGAATGAGGAACCAGGCATACGTTTCCGTACAACAACACGCATCCGGCTCAGGGTAAAGGTGCCGGGGCGCGCCTTCCAGGACTTGGAGAACATCCAGGGATCCATGGATCCACAGCGGCAGAAAGCGCCAGGAAGCATCAGGCACCCAGAACAAACAGAAACCCTGACCCTGATTCACCTGCGGTTCTGGCTACCGTAGAACTGCGGCAGCTTTAGCGCTGGCCTGACACAAGTACACAAGGCATGCTATGCGCCCCCGGGCTCGCAAGGCGAGGCTTCCTTTTCTTGGTGAAACCCTGTCTCACACGCAGATCCACACCCGGACACACCACCGACCCAGACTTGCTTCTTCCGGACGTCCGGGTCCCTCAACCCGGCCCAAACCTGCGCAGTACGTGACGCGCACAAGAGCAGAGCTGCACCACAGTGTCGGACAGGGTATGCCCAGGATGCCCAGGAAACATGCGAAACGGAACCCTCGCACATCCCTTGGCTTGAGATCCTCGCTCAGGGCAATCCGGGCTCACGAGCGTTCGCATAAGGGACCCAAGATACGGGAGTCTGTCGCCGGCAATGGCGGCGTAACACCTTTCTGCCAGAACAGCCGTGCTTCCGAGATCAGCGTCGTACGCTGGTGCATGTCACGGGGGTGTCGCCGCCTGGACAGTGCCCAATTCCCGCTTCTGCTATGCTTTTGCACTCCGTTTACAGCACTCCCTTTCTTCTTCGTAGGCATTGCGTTTCGGACAGAGGATGCGATACGAGGCGCAGTCGCCTATGCACCGCGTGGTGTCATGTGGACGGGCGTGGGCGGGCTCGGATGAAGAGCCCGCGCTGGTCAGCCGTAGCCTGCGCATCAATCAATTCTTTCATTACTCGAAACCCAATTGACCGATGTTTACTCATGCCTTCTTTTGCCCAGGCAGGAAGCAGGGGGGAATGAATGCAGATGGCATGCTGGATTTCTCACGAGCTCACAGCCGCAGATTGCCCCCAGATCTGCGTTGTTCGTATCGATGCAAACCGTTAATTGTAAGCTTCACTGCTTCCACGCCTCGCATGCCGGGTGCCACGATGCTCGCGCACAGCTCGCAGACGGCGGTACAGCGGCCTCTTTGTGCATGCCCGAATTCCGGTGCTCGGGGCCGCCGAGGCTGTGGGGTCGAGAATCCAGAAGAAAGCGCAGTGACACAGAAAATAGAGGTAGGTTCAGAAGCCAACTCTAAATGGGGTTTGGGATAGTCGCCTGCGCACACTCGAAGCTCGAGCTGCGTGTTGACTTGAGGCGTGTCAGACAGACGAGACACATTTCAACACAAATCTAAGCTTATTGATTTGCGGCGTCATTGCAAAACGCAAACATAACAACAAGCTCACGGGGACCGACCCCGTAATCGTATTCGACTTCGGGCCTCGGGCGTTGGAAGAAGTAGTTCTGCCTATTGTGCGTACGTATATGTGCACACGAGTGACGGCGAGGACGTGCGTACTCCCTCGTTCGAACCGATTGTGTAATCCGCCATCCACGGCTCCTGAATGGATGCCAGGATCCATGGCGCAGTGAGTTTGGAGACGTTACCAAGACGAGCCTAACCGCGCGCTTGCAATTGTCACTGAACTAAGCATACCTCATCAGCAGTACCAGGCAGGTTGGAGCCATGTCATACCAATTGTAATCTGTTTGTCATCAGTTGTCAACAGAGTTTTCTGGAGCACGCCCCTTTCCCTCGGGTGCTGCGGACTGCATGCATTGCAAGTGTACATGTGCCACGCTGAGAGAAACAAGCTCAGATCCAGAACACAGGCCATCTCGGACGGTCACAGCCCCGAGGCTGCGACCGGCAGCCTGGACCCTTCCCCTACCGTGTGGCATTTTACGACATCCAGTCTCAGTTGACCCGACAACCGCCATGGACGG